CTGTGACCAAAGATTGAACTGCAGCACAGAGGAGGTGCCCAGAGCAGAGGCCCTTCCTGCTAAGGCCTCACTATGGTGACCATACAGAGACTTTGTTTTCTAGGGCAGAGGGGAAAGGGGAGGATATTCAGAAGAGCTTTAGAGGGGAATCTCAATTCTGCTTCCAGTATCACTAATTTTCCCTTTGAAAATTAGCAGCTCTTTAGTAAAACCCTCAATAGGGCTCCATTATGGTTTACGTGTGACAAAGAGTACTAATGACCTTTAATGATGAGTAAGTGGATTGCACAGAATATTACTTATTTAATGAAAAGTAATGGCTGTGTCAGTGCAGCGAGGAGAATGATGCTAAGTGGCCTCTTCACATGTGTGTTCCTTTTAGTGCTAGCCTTTGTCACAGCACACACACTCCAGAGACACTAAGCAAAAAGGACTCATCCCCACCTGGTAACAACCACTACAAAATGCACCCAGAAATTGCTTTCAGTCCATTTTCCAAGCACTCCATGGTGCGTCTAACTAATTCTCAACCTCTTTATGGTTCTAAAGGTTGGAGACCATTGATCTAATGGAAACGTACCAGAATAAGGAACGCTAATTTTATCCCCCTCTGAATCAAACCTCCACTAAGCAGAAAGATGATGTCAATGATGACATCTATATCCTCATTTGGAAAACAAAAAAGTTGAGCTCAAGGGCTCTAAAGGCCAGACCTTGTAACTCGGATTTGCAATTTTCCTGAGCTTCTGTTCAGTTTGTAAATGGAAAGGTGATATTACTGAAGTGTACTCTTGAAACATATTGATTGATTGATTAAGAGCAAAAAACACTTGGTTGGCTTCCGGATTTATTCAGCATACCAAAGTGTAGAAGTAGCATCCTTGCGCTCTCTTTGCCCACAAAGCATTTGAGAGCTTCTACCATTCCACTTGCTTTTTACCATATTATTCATGTGTTTCTAAAGTAATTTTCCCCATTTTTACAGTGTGGGGAATCTCTTTGGCAGGATTCGTTAGTTAATTCATGCTAAAATCAACAGGGAGAACAGAACTAGCCCTTCCTAGAATTGTGTCTTATCATCCCAACCCCACAACAACAACAATAATAAGACTAGGTTTTATGGGATGTCTGTTATGTACCATGTACTATGCTAAATGTTTTACATATGTTATATAAGTTAAAACTAACACTTTCTCCAGGGGTAGGTATGATTAACTCTCACAGAATGGATGATAGAGCAGGCTCTGAGGAAGTAGAAATATAAACAAGGTAATATGAGGGAACCTCATGAAACTCTTGGAAAATAGAACTTAAAATAAATATATTTTGATGCAAAATTTTGAAATTCATGCATATTTTTCATAATATGCATTTTTCCACAAAGTTTTTAAAAGACTTCTCATAAGCTGCAAGTGATCAAAGCACGGCTTGAACCCAGACTTCTCCGGCACCAAAGTCCATGCTCTTTCTGCTACTTCATGCTACTTGTCATTAATCCGTGAAGAGCCAGCTCAAGAATCTGCTCTAGAGCTTGGGAAGTACTCTACCACATTTTAAGGATAACGAATCCTTGCAAATTATAAAATGATTTTAAAACCAAGCACTACAGCAAAACTGAGTATGGATTCATGAAGAAACTCTACACATCTTTTTTTTTAAGTCATTATCAAAATGACTTCTTGCCACTCTTTCAGAGATAGACAACCATGCTCTTTTACCAACACCTTCACTTGTCAACTCAACATCATGATCCTTTATTTTATTCTTCCAGAAAAGTGGATGCTAGGATATTATTGTGGTTGTTAGCTTTGCATCATCATGATACTAAGCTGACACAAATATTACTATAGGGGCTGGTGCTGTGGCACAGCGGGTTAAAGCCCCAGCCTGCAGTGCCAGCATCCCATGGAAGATCTCTCTCTCTCTTTCTCTTTCTCTTCCTCTTCCTCTCAGTAACTCTGCCTTTCAAATAAAATAAATAAATCTTTAAAAAATATTACTATAAATACTATTTGAAAATACTGTTCAATAAAACAAACTGACAATACATACAAGAGAGATTATAACAATAAACAAGCATGTTGCAAATGAACATAATAAGTGAATGTAGATTAAATAAAACCAACGCAAGGTACCATTTCTTTTGGGAAACTTGTGTGTGTTCTGTAGGAAAAAAATTGCATGAAATGTCTATGTTACAGGAAAACAGAAGTAAACTCAGAATTTAAATACATTCTTCATTTATGTTCCTATGAAAATGTCACAAAACTCTGACTCCCTTAAGGTAAAGCCCATATTTTATTCAACTCAGTGTCCAAAGCATCTGGCCCAATGCCTAAGTCACTAAGAATCAAATACCTTATAGTATATTGAATAAATACATCATTCATACACATTATTCAACAAAGAAACAAAAGAAAATAATTTTTAGATTGCTGTTAATGGAAACACATATACCTAATAGGTACTGGTATCGTTATACTTCGATTCCATATTTTTAGGGTTTGATTTCTACCAGGATCTATAAAATGTTACCAGTCTCACACTGAGTAAACTCATTTTGGTAAATTTCTCCTAGGGCAACAATTCAGAAGATATGCACAAACCCAGTTATAGCAGTACAAAGAGAAGAATGTTGAAGTAGTTTAAAATGTTCAACAGTAGGGAAATTATTAAATTATAATACAGCAGCTTGGAATAATAGGAAGACACTGGAAATTATAGACAAGAAGCTGTGTAACAATAAGGAGTATTTATAAAAGGAGAATACAGAATTGTATATTTACCATGATGATAACTAAGTAAATTCTGTAAGTGTATACAAAATGTTTGGGTGAGGGGAAATGAAAATATTTGTATTCAGCTGGTAGAATTTTAAAACGTTTTCTTGTGGCATAGTGGGTTAAATCACAGCCTGCAGTGCCGGCATCCCATGTGGGTGTCAGCTGGAGTCCCATCTGCTCTGCTTCTGATCCAGCTCCCTGATAATGCATCTGAGAAAGCAGTGGAAGATGGCCCAAGTGCTTAGGCCCCTGCACCAGTGGGAGACGTAGAAGACATTGGCTCCTGGTTTCTGCCTGGCATAGCTCTGGCCATTACAGCCATTTGGGGAGTGAACCAGCGGATGGAAGACCTCTCTCTCTCTCTCTCTCTCTCTCTCTCTCTGCATCTCCTTCCCTCTCCCTCTCCCTCTCTCTCTCTCTCTCTCTCTCTCTGTAACTCTGCCTTTCAAATACATAAAATCTTTTAAAAACATGGTAAAAAAACATTTTCTTATAAAAATGTCCCTTAATATGGTGATAATGTTACTCTAATACATTTTTAAAAACCAATTTACAGGGTGTGAGCTTTTAGCCTATTGGTTATAGGATGCCCATGTCCCACATTCGAGTGCCTGGGTTCTTGTCCCATCTCTGGTTCCTGATTGCAGCTTCGAGCTAATGCAGACACTGGGAGGCAGTGGTGATGGCTCAAGTAATTGAGTTCCTGTCACCCATATATGAAATCTGGACTGAGTTCCTGGATCCTGGTTTTAGCACCACCATGTCTCCCTCTCCCTCTCCCTCTCCCTCTCCCTCTCCCTCTCCCTCTCCCTCTCCCTCTCCCTCTCCCTCTCCCTCTCCCTCTCCCTCTCCCTCTCCTTCTCCCTCTCCTTCTCCCTTTCTGCCTGTAAAGTAGATAAAAATAATTTTTAAAATTTTAAAACATTTACAAGTGTTTTAAAATTTTAAAACACTATTTTAAAAACAGATCATATTCCTGAGATTCATATATGAGGTTGTAGATAATACTTTATCCCGTTTAGTATTTTTTTATTCTACTCAATACTATTGGTTAAACTCTTTAATTAACACACAATTACTCTTGGGTGTTTAAACTTAACTGAAAAGTGATCCCTGTTACATATAAGAGTGGGAATAAGAGAGGGAGGAGATGTACAGTTTGGCACATGCTCAATCGGGCTTGCCCCAAATGGTAGAGTTAGAAACGTGCCTGGGGACTCCAATTCAATCCCATCAAGGTGGCATGTACCAATGCCATCTCACTAGTCCAAGTGATCAGTTTCAGTTCACAATTGATCACGCTGATAGGATTAAGAGTCAAAGGGATCACATAAACAAGACTAGTGTCTGAAAATACTAACTGATTGAATTAAAAAGGAGAGAACGATCCAACATGGGAAGCGGGATACACAGCAGACTCATAGAATGGCAGATGTCCTAAACAGCACTCTGGCCTCAGAATCAGCCATTAAGGCATTTGGATCTGGCTGAAGAGCCCATGAGAGTACTTTAGGCATGGAAAGCCAAGACACTCTGGCAAAAAAAAGACCTAAATGAAAGATCTCTGCGAGTGAGATCCCAGTGGAAAGAACGGGCCATCAAAGAAGGAGGTACCTTTCTCTGAAGGGAGGAGAGAACTTCCACTTTGACTATGACCTTGTCTAAATAAGATCAGAGTTGGCGAACTCAAAAGGCTTCCATAGCCTTGGCAGCTCATGACAAGAGCCTAGGGTGATTACTGATGCCATAAACAAGAGTGTCAATTGTTAAGTCAACAACAGGAGTCACTGTGCACTTACTCCTCATGTAGGATCTCTGTCCTTAATGTGTTATACAATGTGAATTCATGCTATAACTAGTACTCAAACAGTACTTTATGCTTTGTGTTTCTGTGTGGGTGCAAACTGTTGAAATCTTTACTTAGTATATACTGAATCAATCTTCTGTATATAAAGATAATTGAAAATGAATCTTGATGTGAATGGAATGGGAGAGGGAGTGGGAGTTGGGAGGGTTGCAGTGGGAGGGAAGTTTTGGGGGGGAAGCCACTGTAATCCATCAGCTGTACTTTGGAAATTTATATTTATTAAATAAAAGTTAAAAAAAGACTAGAAAAAAACATTTACAAGTGGATCTTATTTTAAAAACAGATCATGTTCCTGAGATTCATATATGAGGTTGTAGATAATCTCAGACTCTTTACAAATATCCTACAGGATCGCTTCTCGGCCTTTTGGCTAAGATCAAGTGTAGTACAAATATCCTACAGGAATTAACCAAAATGTGAGGGGACTTGAAAATAGAAATAGAATTTAAAAATAAGTTTATTTTGTGACAATTTTTAAAAATTCATGTATATGAGGTCTTCACAAAGCTCTATTAGTGAAATGGGCATCTTTTCATTTGATTATTATTATTATTTTTTTTTTTTTGACAGGCAGAGTGGACAGTGAGAGAGAGAGACAGAGAGAGAAAGGTCTTCCTTTGCCGCTGGTTCACCCCCCAATGGCCGCCGCTGCAGCCGGCGCACCGCGCTGATCCTGGCAGGAGCCAGGAGCCAGGTGCTTTTCCTGGTCTCCCATGGGGTGCAGGGCCCAAGCACCTGGGCCATCCTCCACTGCACTCCCTGGCCATAGCAGAGAGCTGGCCTGGAAGAGGGGCAACCGGGACAGAATCCGGCGCCCCAACCGGGACTAGAACCCGGTGTGCCGGCGCCGCAAGGTGGAGGATTAGCCTATTGAGCCACGGCGCCGGCCATTTGATTATTATTATTTATAGCCTTTGCCTACATTCCTGCTAAACTAGGATCTTTTTACTATTTATTTGTTTAACTCTTTATTTAGTGGAGCATTACATCCTTGACTATAATGTTAATTAAAAATACGTTATCTCAGGGCCAGCACTGTGGCATAGCTGGTAAAGCCACTGCCTGCAGTGCCGGCATCCCATATGGGAGTGGGTTCAAGTCTCGGCTGCTCCACTTCCGATCGAGCTCTCTGCTGTGGCCTGGGAAAGCAATAGAAGGTGGCCCAAGTCCTGCGGCCCCTGCACCCACGTGGAAGAAGAAGCTCCTGGCTCCTGGCTTTGGATCAGCACAGCTCCAGCTGTTGCAGTCATCTGTGAAGTGAGCCAGAGTGGAAGACCTCTCTCTCTTTCCGTCTCGTCTCTCCCTCTCTCTCTGCATCTGCCTCTATAATTCTGCTTTTCAAAGAAATAAATAAATCTTTAAAAAATAAAAATGTTATGTCAAAAACTAAAAACGAAGGATAAAAAGAGAATAAGAAAGGGAGGAAGGGGGAGGGAGGAATAGTGGGAGTGAAAGAGGGAGAGAGGAAGGGAATAGCATTAAATCCTTAGAATTGTATCTAGAAACTGCATGAAAATGCATGAAAAGACTTTGCATAGATTTCAATCTTTTGCACCAAAATAAAATTGTCTTTTTTTTTTTTTTTTGACAGGCAGAATGGACAGTGAGAGAGACAGAGAGAGAGGTCTTCCTTTGCTGTTGGTTCACCCTCCAATGGCCACCGGGCCGGCGCACTGCGGCCGGCGCACCGCGCTGATCCAATGTCAGGAGCCAGGTACTTATTCTGGTCTCCCATGCGGGTGCAGGGCCCAAGCACTTGGGCCATCCTCCACTGCACTCCCTGGCCACAGCAGAGAGCTGGCCTGGAAGAGGGGCAACCGGGACAAAATCCGGCGCCCAGACCAGGACTAGAACCCTGTGTGCCGGCGCTGCAAGGCGGAGGATTAGCCTAGTGAGCCGCGGCGCTGGCCCAAATTGTCTTTTAATTACATTTCCCACTAACTTTTTGAAGTTCCTTTGGGTAAATAAACTACATTGCTGTAAAAATAGAAAACATTGAGCCTTTTTCTTTTCATTTGAGTGCTTGCAGTACTTAAGGAAAAGTAGGGCTAATTAGAGGAAGATGTGAACGGTAGACAGGTACTTTAGTCCAGATTCTGAAGAGACCTTTGAATAGTTTCAAGGACTTAAACAAATTTGGGCACTGGTTGATTGTATAATTGAATACCATGATTTATTAATTTCTCCTTGATTCAAGTGTAACACTAACATTCCTCTTTTGCATTTTAGGCATGACTGCGATAATTTGATTTGTTTTGACACACAATGAGTAAACAGGGAGGCATAAAAGAGGCTTTCCTGCGTTAAACTCAGAGTCAAAAAAGGAACAACTTAAAGGTGGTTGAAGCAGATATGCCAAAAATGTTAAGAAAAATTGCAGTAAAATTGTGTAAAGACAAGGTCAAGTTTATTTTTGGAGATATAGCAGAATACATTGGCAGACTTTCTTGACTTAAAAAAATATGATAAACCAAAAACATTGAATGAAATATTCAACACTTCTTAAGAGTATCAAAGAATTGGCAAAAGAGGTAGCAATTACCAGGCCAAAATATCAGCAAAGGCTGGAACTCAGAGAGGTGGATGTGCATTAATAGTCTTTCCGAACTCGGCATTCACAGAATCTGTGGAATAGCAATATGAATTTTTGTGGCTTCCTCAAGTGTGGGTGACAAAAGACTGAGCTCACAGCCATCCAGGATTGGGAGTTTAATATTGACTATGTAGTTATATGCCTTTTGGGATTAAAATAACAGGATAGAACTTAAACATATGTCAAATCTATATATCTCACAAGAAGAGTAAATGCAGTTAATGGTCTAAGGTCTAATAATTGTCTAAGGGAGTAAGAATATGGTCTAAATATTTTTGGTAAGTTAAGCATGCATGTTACCATTTCAAAAACAACCTTTTAAGAAACACCAATTTTATAACTTCTAAATTACTGGAAAGGAAAATGGAATGATAAAATATATTAAATCCATCTAAAATAATGAAGATTAAAAATACAGAAGCTGTACAAATAGAAGCAGAAGAGCTAACGCAAATAGAAAACACAAAATAATCTGGTAGATATAAATCCAAGTGGATCACTAATTATATCAAACTTAAGTGGACTAAAAGCTCCAGTGAACAAGGAAGACATTCAGACTAGATTAGTAAAAACGGCCAACTAAGTGTTGTTTATAAGAAACATGCCAGAAATATAAAGACACAGAAAAGTTAAAAGCAAAAAAATGGAAATAACATGATCTATGAACATGCTAAAGAAAGGAAATTTGGTTTAGCTAGGTTATTATTTGTTAGTATAGATTTGAGGCACAGAGCATTTCTAAAAGTGAAGAAGGTCACATTGTAATAACAGTAAGATTAAATCACAGGAATGATATGGCAATTCTAAATTTTTATCTCCTAACATCATAGCCTCAAAAATATATAAGCAAATGACCTACAAAATGAAAGAGAAAAGCCCACAATAGGGGAGATTTTGAAAATATCCCTCCCTATAATCCCTAGAACAGGAACAAAAGACTACAAAAGATTTATTTAAATAATGCATGCAACAAAATAGTCACCAGGGACAGATAGAAATTTTAATATCCAAAAACCGCAGAATACACACTTTTCCCCAAACATACATAGAACATTTTTAAAATTAAAGCTTAAAGTAATTTTCTATCTTCAGAATCACAGAGTTCACCCTATGTTCCAGCAGTGCAATAAAGCTACAAATCAATAGCCAAAAGAGGAATAGATGGTATATTTGGAAATTAAGAAGCACATTTCTAAATGGATGAGATATAAATTATAATGAGGGGAGAGTATTTAGTTTAGCACTTAAGATTCTGGTGAAGACTCTCACATTCCACATCAGGGCACCTGGTTCAAATCCTGGCTCCGGTTCCTGACTCCAGCTTCCAACTAATGCTTAAACATGGCTCAAGTGATTGGAACCCTGTCACCCAGGAGGGAGACCTAGATTGAATTCCTGATTCCTGGCTTCAGTCCCAGCCCAGCTCTAGCTATTTCAGGCATTTGAGGAGTGAACCCTGGATAAAATATGGAATATTTGAACTGAAGGATAATGAAAACCACAATGAGAGACATGAAATTGGAGAAGATTCAGTCTTCTGATAGGTTGATAAGTCTTTGGAGCAGTGGGAATGCTCCTGCACTGCTGGGTGAGATGGAAATTGTTTCAACATTAAACAAAACTCAGTTACTTACATCATCACATACTTTATGACCCAACCATTCCATTCCCAGGCATATCTCCTAGAGGCTTTTGCACCAAACATCCACCCCTGGATCACTTCTTCAACATCCTTTTTCACTCATTCATTAACTATTCAATAAACAGATACTGAGTTCCTACTACATGCTGGACATTGTTTTAGAAAGACACTGGAGGGGCCAGCGCTGTGGCGTAGCAGGTAAGGCCACCGCCAGTGTCGGCATCCCAGTTTGAGTCCCGGCTTCCCATACAGCTCTCTGCTGTGGCCTGGGAAGGCAGTAGAAGATGGCCCAAGTCCTTAGGCCTCTGCACCTGCGTGGGAGACCTGGAAGAATCTCCTGGCTCCGGGCACCAGATTAGTGCAGCTCTGGCTGTTGCAGCCAATTCGGGAGTGAACCAGCAGATGGAAGACCTCTCTCCCTCTGTCTCTCTCTCTGTCTTTCTCTCTTTCTCTGCCTGTCCTTCTCTCTCTGTGTAACTCTTTCAGATAAATAAATAAATCTTTAAAAAAAAGAAAGACACTGGAGATACAGCAATAAGGAAAAAAATGTCTCTGTCTCAAACAATTCGTGTTGCAAATGGCAAGAAATCTAGCACAAACTGATTAATGTAACTGAAATGTAGAGACAGATTGAGCCTCAGACAACTCCTTATCTGAAGCTCCATGATGTCATCAAGTTTCTTCTGTCCCTCTGTCCTATTCTCTGCACTGTACACCTTATCTTCGGGTTTCACAAAATGTCCCAAGCAGCAGCGTTAAGTGTCCCTGTCCTAGACATAAATGGCTGTGCCAGCTGCAAGCCCCAGATCTTCACACCCAGAGAAGAGGGTGACTGTGCCCCAGGCTTCACAGCAAGTTTCCTAGGTTCACCTTCACTTGACCATCTGAAACCTCAGTATATTCCCATTTCTAAGGCGAACAGTAGAACTTCAGAAGCGGACTAAATTCTGCAACTGAGCTTGGAGGACATAATGAAATCAACATATTCACTCCAAGCACAAGGCTCAAAATTGTATTGGGGGTGTCCCCCAGTCATGAGTCTTGGATCTTGCTAGGAGCAAGATGAATGAAAGTTAGATAGCCAGTAAGATCATCCTCTTCAGCCTTTGCTGCCATGACGCATACCCTCTTGGGAAGGGTGGAGGATTAGGCAATAAACAAGTAAACACAGCAATTAGTAGGATAGTTACAAATAGTAATAGGTGTTACAACTGTAATATGTAAAGTCTTCAAAAAGTTCCTGGAAAACAGAATTCAAACGTGGGGGATGGCAGGTGTTTGGTGCAGCAGTTAGACAC